GTGTGCACTTTCTTTTAGCAAACGTGCTACCAAAGCCATTATTCATAATATGTTTCCTAACCAGACTTGCCCATAATATGATTTGTTGATCTTTAAGTTTTTGTGATTGTCTTCTTAATTTATTTTCTCTCTTCCAGAACTATGGTGCATTCTTCGATCTATGGGGTGCTGGAATCACTGGTCCTGTGATGCTGAAGGGCCAAAAAAGCACGACAGATCTATCTTCAAATGACTGGACATATCAGGTTTTTCTTGTATTTTGCAATGATTACATACTGCATAACTGAGATAGCTATGCAAATGAAATCAGACTTATAGATCAAATCCTCAGACACTAATGGGAATTGAAAATATTGTCATATCTGAAATGCAATTAGGACACAATCATGTTCTTTAGGGTTTTATTAAAAGAAAAAAGTGGGATATATCATATAAGTCAGCCGAAGTTGCGATAGCTGGTCAATTTTTCTAATCATGTTGGTCCTAACTTCTAGTATGGGTGGCTCATTTCAAGGCAGAAATAAGTATCACTAAGCTTATATGAAAACAATGTAGCAAATGATCTAATTCTGTTTTGTCACATTAGTTGGTGTTTGACTTGCATTTTACTATCCTGAGGTCAATAAAGTGAAAAATAATCACAAACTTCTTTTAATAATAAACTATGGATGATAAATAATATCTTTTTGAAGCTTAGTATTAGGAAATAGACAGATTTGGACTCCTCATCTTATGTCATGTTGGTGCAGATTGGCCTTAAAGGTGAAGAGTTGGGCATATATGAAGAGTCAGGGGATTCATCAATATGGATTTCACAATCTGCTTTGCCAAAGAATCAGCCTTTGGTATGGTACAAGGTGAGTTTTATTATTTTTCATTTGAAAGTATTTGTTAAGTTGCAGACTGAAACATCTCATCTGTGCATAAACTGTTATACTAGATTCACAAAACTCATATTATTGATTTTTACTTTAATATCTAGTTAATAATCTTTCAGGTCATGTTAGGATTGAAAACAGAACAAGTTTCTGATAAATTATCGAAGAATTCCTTCTGCACATCCAGCTCAAGCAATCCAACACTACAAAAATTGATCCATACTTGTCGGATTATAGATTCTAAAAATTTCTTGCCTGAAAACTCTGCATATTACCAGTTTGAGGTCCAAAAATATATAGATATTAACGTTATGCCAATGCATATTTGGATCATCACATGTACCCCGGATTTGCATTCCAGTTTTTTCAAAATGATTCATGATAAATTTTCACACCAGTTTGTTGTGGAATCTGGATCGATGAAATAGAGTGTTTCTTTAAATTTATAATGAATCCTAGAGTGCTTCTTTAAATTCCACAATGAAATAGTTGTGTAATGTAGATAAATTAATGCACCAGATAGATAAATGTTATTCATTGGCTTGAATTTAAAATCATGCTAACAACCTTATTACTGTAGCATAGCCTGCATTGGGCTTTTTATATTGAGTTTTTGTTTTTTTATTTGGCACAGATTCTTTTGGACCTTGTTGGCAACAGATCAATCATTTCTTTTTTAGATCTGTTTATCCTTTAAAACTTCAGCAAATGGTTATTGTAAAAAGAAATAAGTCCTGTGAGTTGTTGGGAGAGGGTGTGCCATTGTATTTTCTCACTGATAGTGAAACTTACTCTTGTCTTGCCCGTAAATTTAGCCAAAACAGCAAACATTTAATTCTGTCATCTTCCTTATCTTTTCCTCTCTTTTTTCATGTGGTTGTGCATGAGTGATACCCCACTCGCACAACAATTAGACTTTTGTATTTGCAGGGGTGTCGATAGATTCATATTACATGCTCTCAGCCTTGTAGCTCTACAACAATCTCTGCACCCTATTCTTTTATTCTTTTAGTATACATAATTGTTAACCATATGTAGCATTCACGAGTTGAATTCTCCATCACAAATTTTCCACACAGGGCTACTTTGATGCACCTGAGGGCAACGATCCGGTTGCAATAGACTTTACTGGAATGGGGAAGGGTGAGGCATGGGTGAATGGACAGAGCATCGGACGCTATTGGCCAGCTTATGTTTCTCCGCAGACTGGCTGTACCACTTCATGCAACTACAGAGGAGCATTTAGTTCAAATAAGTGCCTAAAGAACTGTGGCAAACCGTCTCAGAGACTGTATGAAGCTATGAATCATATTTTACTAATCTCAATTTCTTTTTTTGTGTGTATTTGTATCATCTGAAATCATGTTTACTCATTTAAACAGGTATCATGTTCCTCGGTCACTGATCCAATCTGGCAAAAATAGACTGGTTCTTTTTGAGGAAATGAGTGGAGATCCGACTCAGATATCTTTTGCTACGAGGCAGACCGTAAGCTTATGTGGACATGTATCGGAGTCCCATCCAGCGCTCTTAGATGCTCAGGGCACCGCACCGAGTAATGTGCCAATGCTCCGTCTAGAGTGCCCATATCCAAATCAGAAGATTTCTTCAATAAAGTTTGCAAGCTTTGGAACTCCACATGGCACCTGTGGAAGCTACAACCATGGCAAATGCAGCAGCGACGATGCTCTTGCTGTCATGCAGCAGGTACATCACGCAACTGCTCATCACTCTCTTTTCGAATAAACTATTTAATTCCCTGCTGATGGTTGTGGCAATACTTCAGGCATGCATTGGTGTCCAGAGCTGCGACGTCGAGGTCTCAATCAAGTTGTTTGGCGATCCATGTAGAAATGTTATCAAGAGCCTTGCAGTTGAAGCTGCATGTTCTTAATGGAAGATGATGATACATGAGCGTCAAAGATCCAAATGGTGGGACTAAAGCAGTTCCACAGGGTGGTCGGAGGAAAGAGAGTGACGATGAATAAAATGTACAAAACATTATCAAACAGAATGATCCAAAAAATGAAAGATAAGGTGTATATTTTGCACTGAGGTTGTTTGTCACAGGTTCTGCTTTTGTTCGAAGTGGACTGGAATCTGTCTTAAATACTGGCTGGCCACTACAAGGAGCAACCAATGCACTATATAGTTAGGGCTAATAAATGGTCCCTCTACCAAATGGTCAATTTAGGTCCTTTGTAGGACTTTTATTCAAGTGAGTCTGATTTTTACCATTAAGTTTTTGTCGTCATTTGTTTCTTACTGCCATTTGGTCCGACGTAGTTAATCCTCCTACCTGTAATAATCAAATATGCAGATTTAGCATGATTTATTTGGTCAAGATTCAAATTGACCACAGAGTTCTCTTTGAAGGGAAAACAAACTGTATTAGTTTAAACAAGGTTCATACAACCCAAAGGAGGTGAAACAACTCTCCAGAAACAGAGGAATTCTAACGACCAAATTAACAGAGGAATTTTTATCGATCAAAATCAGAAATTCTATCGACCAACTTCCACTACTTTGGCATACTTTTGCAATAAAAGAAGATATCCCGACATAGGGAGCGTAAGTTCTATGAAATGGTGACGGGGTTAGAGAGAATATTGATAATGCTTTCTTGTTGCCTTTATCCTATTGACTTAATTTTGTCATGAAGGCATAAGTTTGTCTTTGCAACTTACGTGATAGTCACAAGAGGTGATTGGAGTGGGGGAAGGTCCAATCAAAACAATCCCGAGGTGTTGCTTGTATGCTCGAGGTGATCTGGGCTTCCTCGGGGTTTTGTGGATGAGTCGAGGTATGTCTTGACTTTGTCGGGGATCTTGTATAAGCGATTAGCGTCGAAGGGAGTTCCTGACCCGACATCTTGGATGGTAAAGTTAGTACAATTCTCATTCCACCCGGTCATTGTGTCATGCCTCAAGTAGTGGAGGATTATGCCCTTTTAGATGGCACCCAACTCGTGGTGTTACTTGGTGGCCTTCGTTGACTAGTGCAAGGGCGCAAGGAAAAGGTAAAATAAGATGTAAAATAAATAGAAAAAGTATCTTTAGAATTTGTCAATTTGTATATCAAACAAAACTCTGTTTTATTATTATCTACAGAGTTTCGGAAGGATGATTGCATAGAGACATTTGGAAGGATGAACTCCGAACCTCCTCTCGTCAACAGAGCTATTGTAGCCGTTCTATCTGCCTGTACCTCTTCTTCTTTTCACTGACGTGGCACTATTTTTGTTGGATGAGGCAATTTTGTGCTGATGAGCGGAAGAATAGCAAGAAGAACAAGAGAGGGGCAGCTAAAGGAAGAGGAAAATGAACAAGAGTACGAGGAGAAAAGAGTTAATAGCTGAGCCGGAGGACGAAAAGTAGGACAATAAGGAAATTGGACATGGAAATTATTCTCTTTTTATTAACAATTGAGGCCACTGGATGTGGATGAATATTAGGAATGGGGGATAGCATGGCAAAATATCCACATTATCAATTGCATGGCAAATGAAGGTCCAGAATACTAGTAGTGAAAAATAATTGATTAACCTAATAACATTGAAGGTTTTATTCAGCAAATCATAACATAAGCCAAAGTAACCTATCCTAACGGAGATACGATGGCATGGTAAGTTGTAATGCAGACATCTTGCTTATCTCAAATGAATAGTGAAGTCACTGGTATGCCATAATGTAGAACATAAGAGTGAAGGTATCTTAGATAATGTGCATTGCTCACTTTGTGTTGTGCCAAAAACCTCGTGTGTCCAATCTTTAGGATATCTACGATTTTTGTATGTAATTTCTTTAATTTAATGCATAAAATCCAGCATAGGCTTAAGCTATATGATTCAAAGCCTTAAAGCTAGTAGAGTTTGGATTCAGGATTTGGGGTTAACAAGTACTTCATACTATAATGAAATAGTTATTTAATATATAGTGGACCGACATATATAACCAGCATAAAGTTTTATATATTTAGTTGCATAATTCAGATTTATGCATGATATATAAAACTGGTGGGAAGAATGAGCCATAGCTGTTTCAGTGCCTTCCGGTGATATGGTGGTGGCACAACAGACAGTCCACTCATCTGTGATCCATCATCCCAAGACAAGAAGCGGTGTGTTCCTATGTTTCTGTACCATATTGGTTTGGTCATCTCGAGTCCATACCAAAAGAGGAAGAAGAAACGGGGAGACTCCAAAATGGAGACACCATCAAATTTGCGCACACACAAAACTATAACATGTAGCAACAAATTCTTAATAATTCTTGGGAAAAGTCTAGGGAGATCAAACATTCTCCGCAGCACTTTGGTGTGATGTACCTTCTACCTTTCCCACTGCAGAAAGTTTCTCAGCTGCTAATCTTTGTTCTAGCGCCCTTGCTCCGCGTTCCCTGTAGCAAAATAAGGTTGTTGAATTAGTACCAGTGCCACACAATATGCCGATGAATACCTCGATGCATCATCATCCAATGAAATATCCTATCCCACACAGATGCAAAGAATATGTCAAACCTGGTGACCAAGTAATCAGAAAATAGCACACTAGCTAACATTCTATTACAAGTATCTATTGACGAAGAATGTAATGATACATCATCCAAATCCAGATACCAAAGTTTACTAGAATTTACAACATGGAGGAAAGATGAGCAGAGGAGAGACACTGGAATATTCAATGCCTCTAAAAACAAACTATCAAGCAATTTGTATATCTAGTATATGAAAAAACAAGCAGTTACCACTGTTCTGAAAATATGATTTCATCGGTTTCTGATTTTATTGCTGTTGAACATTAGGATTCTGATTTGCTTTCTAAGTCTGTGGATCCCACGCTAAACATTCCTTACTGTCAACATTGGGGTTTTGGGTACTGCTGCCAGCCACAGATCAATGGTGCTGGAGCTTAAATCAATGGTGCTCCATCCCTGCTATTGCCTATAGGTTCCTTGTGTATTTTTATTTAGAGGATAAATTGGCTGTTTGGTCGATAGTTTCGAAGCCTTCTATGACCTTAAGATTAAATTATTACTTTGGAAAACATCTAGGAGAGAATTTCTTTGGTCAAGGCTTTTACCTTGTGCCCTTCTCAGTGTCATTTGTATGAGCTGATGGATGAAACCATTGATGGAATTTTCTTATTATTGTATAAACATGTTGGTGATGTTTTGGTAAGAATTCTACAGGACTTTAATAAGCCTGAGTTATGATGTTAATTGGTGCAATGGAAGAGGTATTACCATGCCATGAACTATTCTCATAATACTGCAGATAATTGTTGTAAAAGCTAATATTGTTAATTCGCTGTGCCAAACCTGGAAAGTGAGGTGCAAAATAGGTTGTGAGAAAACGTTGGGGATGTCAAGCTTGTTGTAGATGTGCTAGGACTATGGCTAAAAGTTAATGTTATGGAAGCTTACCATCTGCGTTAGGAAGCTCTCATCCTCTTTGGAGCAAAAGTAACACAGGTGGATCTGTTAATACCAACAGACCCTTTAGCCGAAGGATTTATTAAAGTTCATTTTGATCTGGTTCTGATCCTCTCCCTCAGCAGGTGTTCTGATTAGTCTCCAGGACAGGACCATCTACTAAGAAGTTTTAATTAACACGGAAGGTGTTCAGGAAGTAATAGGCACAATTTTTCATAAAGTGATAGTGGTAACCTACCATCTAGCTAGAGCCCTTTAATGATCCTTAGCACTATGAAATGCAGTACGACAGATTCTCTTGTTTGCTATTGTCTCAATCAAGAGATCAAATAACCATTTGAACCAGTAAGTATCGACCGGTACTTACCATTCTGACCAAAGGTCAGTACTATTTTAATATTCAATTTCTTATTATTTATTCTGGTTATACTGGGGTTGTACGAGTATATCATACTATATTAGACAGACCAGTTATTGAAACCATTATCGAACAAAGATACCAAAAATTGGTCTCAATGTTAGTGTTACACATACTCATAGGGAAGCTTGTGGATGTGCTGATTATCATACTTATGTCTTGTTTTATGCTTTTCGGCGACCACAGGACTTCCTTATGTTTTATTTTAAGCTTGCAAATATGATTTACTAGTATCTATAACTTGAGATCGACCTAAGTTGTTTTTAGCTCTGACCAAAAATAGAAGTTTTAATTTGTCCAACAACTTGGAAACAAATATGTCAAGATTCAGCATGCACAAACCAATCGTTTATTAGATTAATGCACAAGGCTTGGAATTTAGTTTAAACTGGCGCGATCAAGCAAAAGGTGGGCATTTACTGCAAAATGTTTTTTTATTATTCATTTTGATTTGGCTAATGGACATAAAGTTATTAAATTGCATGAATTTTTGTTTCTACCTTTGCAGATCATGATCAGAAAAGCTTATTGTTGATTTGGAACCCCCATATTTGATCTCCAGCTGGAAAGAGCTAGAAGTATTCTCTAACAATTTGTGAAGCCATAAGCCTATTTAATCATCGGTTGAGATCTATTGAACTTCGAAAGTAGATGTTTTACTTCAGACACACCAATTTCTTGCTCAATGTAAATTTAAATTTATATTTTTATTGTTCATATTCTCATTTCATATATTTTTAATCCAATAATTTATGAAATATGAATATAAAAGATCATTTAGCCCACAACACTGTTATTTTTCATAAACTTTATATTCCATTCTAATTTTTTGCTAATTTATCATTTTTATATTTTAAAATTTTAAATTATTTTCTAAGTTGACCTCATGACCCCTAATTTAATCCAACCAATCCTCTCGATTTTGATCATGTTGTCTCTAGTCGACTCTAATTCAATACCGATCTTGCAAGCAAGCTATGATGGCACATAGAAAAAGATGAACCAAGTTCTCAATTAACAGATGAGAATATAATTTAGTCATATGTTAATCCTCTTCAATGGTAACCTATGCAACAATGTCAATTACCTCTTTCAACAAAGTGAGAAAAAAAAGAAAAGGACGTGTTGACATCAAGGTAAATAAAAGAACTAAAAAAATAAGATTGCAGACTTTTTTAAACATTTTATATTTCCTTCTCTCAGAGTCTTTCTCACCATGCCCAAGTTTTACCTTCTATATCTAACAGGAGTTAATGTAAATACAGAGATAACTAGTAAGAAGGTAACTACAAGATAAATACGGAGACAATGGTTGTAGTTTCGGTTACCGATGCCATGATGATCTGGCCAGCATGTACCATGGAGGGTAGGAAACAGAGGGGAGGAAAAGAGGAAGAGGAGGTGGAGTACCAGGAGCCAAGCTGGTGCCCAACAGTGGATGGGCTGAGGCAGGCAGCCAGAGGCTTCGAGCATGGGCTGGTGCAGAGAGAGAGAGAGAGGGGGGGATTATGATGAACCAAACTGGGTGGTGGGCTTACCACTCAGTTCAGGTCCAGTAACAAGCCAAAAATGGGCACTCTACTAGGTTCAAAGGGTCCCCGAGTAGTAACCCCTGTACCATATCTGGAATTGACACGGGAGTGTCTAATTTACTACAATCTGATTATATGAGCATTGATTATGATCTAGTATCTTTTTCAGTCAATAATGATGCCTCATAATCTTTATCTCAGCACACTAAAAAATGACAGCTCATCAGCATATTCTCTGCATAAAGTTAAAGCTGTTTCAAGGTGCTTTTCTTCAAGACAAAGGAATGCATTAAAGGAGTTGGTTGGCAGCAGTGAACATTTCTTCATTACCAATGAGTGCATTAAAATAGTTGGTTAGAAGCTGTAAACACTTAATTTCGAAATTCCCTATGCATGAAGGGTTGTTTCATGCACTAGTATTTATTTTGGTGTTTAGGACTTAGGAAAGGGTTTTAGAAAACTGATGATATCTGGGCAGAAGCTCTTAGAGAACCCCTTAAACTCTGTATCTCTTGGATGCGTCCTTGAGTGGTGAGTCTTTTATTTTCTAGTTCTGTATCCTCGTTTAATTTCCGTTGGGTGGTGAACTTTCTGTATCCCATTGCGATTTTAAACTTGGTGGTGAGCTATATTTCGTTTTACCGAAGTTTTCTTCAAGAGTTCGTTCATTGCCTTCTGTGATATTTTCTATCTGTACAACTGTTCTATTGGTATTCTTGCGAATCCATTCTGCATTTTTACCCTCCCCGGTATCAGTTTGGTATCAGAGCTAAAGGCTAGAGATCATGGCAAGGCGGAATGGAAAAGATGTAGTTGGTGAAGGTAGCGATCACGAAGATGACGCTGAGTCGTTGAGGCTGCAGCTACGAAAATTGCTGCGTAGCCTACAAGAAAAAAATGAGATAATCGATGAACTTCAGAGTAGACATAACAAATATGAAAATGAAGCTCGAGAGTTTACTTCTGATAATGATACACTTCTTC